CAACCTCAGCTCCTCTGTTTGTCAAACCTTCAGTGATCATCCACTACATGAGATTTGCATGGATTTGAGAGCAGAGACAGAGCATGTGTAGACACGATAAGCAGTTCCCTCTATAGGTTTTGTTCAATGAAAAACCTAAATATCAAACCCCACATCACAAGTGTTTTGTTGTTGGGATGTTGAACAGGCACACAGACACAGTCAGCAATGCACATCTCAAAACACTTATAAAGATATGGAGTGAGCTCAGATGTGTCAGTGATGTTCACCTCTGGCCAAATGTCTCTCAGCTCAAACACAAGTTCACCCAGATTTTCACAGGGAAAGGGAATGTACAGAACCACGCAGCAGCTCTGGCTAAACATAGCAAATGAGAAAAACACATAAATTGATAAAAACACATTTGCACACATATTCATCGTGGCACATCAAAGGGATTCATTGATGTCACTAAACATGGGGAGTCTGCGGCTGGAGAGGGGAGATGCTGGTTATCCTTTCCTCACAGGGTGCTGAGATACTCCTGACGGGCCCCATGCCTCGAGAAGCCAGAGCGCGCTATAAACAGAATTTCTAATGTCATGCTGTGTGGGTGGGTGGGTTAGGTAGTGAACTAGGAGGCTACGGGTAGCGGGAGGAATTGACGCCAGCTCATGCTTTCCACAGAGACCAAAGAGGGAAGGATACAGACCAGGACTGACACCATTTTGCACAGCTCTATACATGAAATGTTAGGAAGTAAGTATAAGTGTGAGCAAGTGTAAAACTTCATAAGAAAGGTACTAAAGCTATGGATTATAAACTTATGACATACTGATTTGCTGATTATACATGTAAAGGCATGTAAAGTGGAACAGGTGTAACATGCTATGGCAGTATTATTGCCACTGTAATGCTTTGGTTTGTGCTGCAGTAATTAGACATGACCTTGATTACTACTCTGTGATATACAAGTAATTGCTGAGACACAGTTGTTGAACTACATAACACTTTAAAGGTAAAAGACTCAGTTAAAAGACTTCTATTTACCCCCTCCTTCTCAAACTAAATCATGACTGATTTAATATTTTAATTCCATTTTTTTTTTGCCAAATTTAATTTAATTTCCCCAAGCCAAAGCAATGAGTTTATTCTCAAAATGAATCGCTCCAGACAAGAGCTCTCAGCGAGCGATGGCATTTCTGTGGTTGCTAGCAATCTGTTTCTAATTGAACAGCGCCACTTAACTGATGTAGATGTGTTTGCTTTTGAAGAAAAATCTTTTAAAAACTATAAACCCTGTCAAAAATGTCAGCTCTGTTGACACAGCGCTTGGTTGAAAAAATATTTGCGCGCTAACATTCAGGAACACAACACTGAGGGCTGTCAGAATTTGAGCCCTGCACACACTGATCCCTCTGTTGCAGAGTATCCACACAGCCTCACCTGAACACACTCCCACACTCACATGAACATGCAGCACGCATGGATGCATGTATGCACATTAACACAGAGAAACGCAGCAAGGTGAGTGAAATGCCAAGTGAGCCACCTGATGAAAAGACACCTCCACACAAACAGGCTTTGTTTATGCAGGGAGAGGCCCTTGTATTCAGCGGGACAATGTCTGTGTTGACTTTTCTTTGTCTGCACATTTTAAGCACCAAAAGCAGCAGAAAGAATGGAAAAGAAAAAAAGAAGTCAGAGAGGCATGCAATCATAGCCACTGACATGTTCAGACTTATGCAAGCTCTCCATTCATATCTAAATCTCAAACAGTTTCCTATTCAACAATCATCCTCGGGAGGTCTAGTGTCTCACTGCGTATTTGATGAAGATATATTTGAGTGGCTAACCTCCCTCTCGCTTACTTGCCACCTCTCACACACAAGAGGCATTTCACTCTTTAGTGAGGATGATGATAATGTACTAGCAGAGTTATCTAAAAGTGCTGATGAAGCTGACAAGAGGTGGCGTCAAGCAGAGTGACTGCTCACCAATTGAATCTGGCAGTAGTCTGTCACTACAGGAACAATGCGGCGATAATCACATCAGTGGTTCAACAAACAAAAAGCTGGATTTGTCAGGCTGACTTCGGAGGAAAAGAACTCTCCGGCCCTGCACCCCACAGCAGACAGGAGTCTGGTGGAACATCTCTGCAAACGTAAAACCTCCTCCTCAGCTCTCAGTGGATTACAGCGGAATGTCAGCTCTGAGCAGGCTTTAAATCAGTTATGCTTGGCCCTAGGGGAACTCTGTGCTGATCCCATATAGGCCTGTCTCTCATTGCTCACGATAGGGTTGCCACATCCACATTTAAAAAGTTTGGGCCTCAAATCCTTCATTGTGGAGTAAAATCCCTTCATGACCACTCTTGAGCAATGTGTTGAACCTATTATTCCGCAGTGTTCTTTTAAATACATGTACACATGATATATGTATGTATTGCTTCAGATAGCTGCATTATTATACATGACTACATTAGATGTCAGACCAGAAGGGGGAACTGTAACTAGATACATGAAAGAAATGTATATATATATCCATGCATGCACTGTTCTAACTGTAATTACAAAGGTTTTTATATGCTACACTCACTTCTACAGTATGAAACTGCAGCTCTCCACGTGGAAATAGATTTTTTTTTTGCCTGCTATTACTCTTGTGATCTGTTTGAAAGACATTTCTTCATTGTATCTCATGCAACACAAGTACAACCACATACCACACCACACTTATAAAACAAATCTGTCAGTCCCAACACAGCTTTCCAAGAGACACAATATCATAAACTGTTTGCAGGCACCAGGATTATTTGTATTTCAAGACCAGGCAAATTTTATCTCATGAGCCAATCAACATATTCCACACAGCAATGGCACAATTTTACTGAGGAGCTCATTTGTTAAACAAAGGCCACTGGTAAAGATTATCCAATAAATCTAACTGTACTGACCTCATCCACTGGTGTAAAAAAAAACAACAAAACCCTTCCGGTCCAAAACTAAAAAGATACTAAGTCTGACCTCTCATCAATCAAAAATTTTGCATCCACAGTAAGCCATGGCCACGGTGCAGTATGGAGAGCTTAAGTATGCCAGCCATTGTCTCCCTGTGTGTTTATGGCATGGTGTTGATTGATGCAGTCAACCCACTCTGTCCCATTGACCTCATTGTTTTTTTTCCAGATGGGGTGGATTATACTTCCTAATTTTAAATCCTCTCCAATTATTTGTTACTTTGCCTCAAGGAACAAGAACAGTCATTTTAATTTTCAACATTGTTTGCTTGGACAGTAACACAAGGAAGTGAGAGGCGCTCATACCCAAAACACAAGACAAAACAGAGCACAGATGAGATAACAGACTGCTAAAACCTCGGTCACATTACAGAACAAACATAACAATCAAGGCTATTTGGTTTGTTTCTTAATTATACCAGAAATGTCTACCAAAGTTTCATGCAGAAATCATTCTGAGAAAGCACATTCTATGAAACTCTGGTGGCCAAAAGCAAGGAGATAGATGATCTACTCGGTGGTACATATCACCTAGTGTGAGCAGAGTAGCCATTTAGTTAATGAGCCCCGATGGAGACCTCCAATGAAGCCATCAAGACTGCTAAGAATGACAATGGTCAACTAACGCCTTTCTAATTGAATGGAAGGTACGGGCAGGCGGGGGGAGTGGGAAGGGAGCAGTGAAAAGGAGACAGAAGAACGGGGGAGGTGGGGGAGGAGAGAGAGTCTTTTCAGTCTAATGCTTGCCTTGCCTTAACGAAAGTACTTGTTTTTTGGGCGAGGGGGTGTGATATGCATGGGGGGATGGACAAACTCAGAGGAACACAACTCTCCAACTGGGATTTTTCCAACAAAGTTAGCATAGTCCCATATAAATTGCATTTAATAGGCCACAGTTCCAAATATTGTTGGTTTAACTGCCTACAGACCTGAATGTGAATCAGTGTATAACACATTCTTTGACCACAATGTGGGATTTTATTTCATGAACTTTCTTATGTGACTTTTTAGTCATATTTACATCATTGCTAAATAGTCTGAAATTATTGTTAGGTTTCTCTCTGTGCTCCATAAACCTGTTGTTAAGGCATGTTTAATATGTGATATCTATGGCTTATTGGCTTATGTTGAACAAACACAATACCAGCAAAAAAGCTATAATTCCTAGCAACAATGACAGTACTGGTTAAAAGACCTAAACAGCTTCATGGACAAACTGATATGATACAACATGTGAATGAATCAATGCAAGCTGTGCATCAGCCACACTTACTTAAGGCTGCCACCCTTATCTAGGCTTTAAAAGTCTCTGGACAACGGCTGTCATGGACACTGCCGTGAAATGCCTCCCATGTGTGTCAAAATAGGGCATTACATTGTTGTTACTGTAGGATATGACTTCTTCTTCTTCTTCTTCTTCTTTTCCAATTCTGCAGAGTGTGTGCAAATGCTGATAAAACACACCAAGCCTGCAAACTAAGGAAATGTCTCCCTTAACACGCTGTGAGTGCATAAAGGAAGGCAATCTAGTGGGAGCAGACATACTTCAAATATCTTGAAAATATATCAGATTTTTAGAAGACTACTACACTCTACACTGCAAAATATGAGACTCTATAGTAAACGAACAGTAACAGTGCATAAAACAAAATCACCATTGCTATGGATCACTGTGAAGTATAAAGTCAAGATCCAGTATGAGCACAGCGGTGTCTTTTCCGTAAGGAACCGCTATAAATCATTCAAAACAAAAAAGAATGAGTAATGTGTCTGAGCTTTGAGCCGAAAGAGAAGTTGTCAAAAGCAAACCGAGGGTGTGTGGTAGGGAGAAATTTATATCCCCCAAAAGAACAAAGAAGTAGTTAGTACTCCTTGAGAGGCCACTCCGAGGGAATATGGCGGTCTGGCACTGCACAAGGAACTTTTACGCACGGGCAAAGTGTTTACGGAGAACGACAGTATAAAGAAATGAGCGTAAAGAAATATCAAGCAGGACACTTACTGTTCTTGCACTGGGAGACAGTGAACCATTTGATAAGTAGGGACTGGTCAGGTCTGGGATCATGAGAAACGGGTAGCTAGGATAGTGAGGACTCTTGAAAAAGCCACCATCTTGCTGCCTTCTCAGTGCTGTGGAGATAAAGACGAGGCCGGATAATAAAGGTGCAAAAACGACATAATTTCCAATTATAGTACACACCATACTGATGATGCTTTTACTTTTACCTTCAGTGAAGTAGTCTCTTGTTTTCTCATAACTTTCTGAGTCGGGTCTGGTTTGGGGACGCCTCTCCGCTTGCTGACAAGGGGAGAATATACACACGGAAAAGAAAAAACTTGAAACTTTCACCACCGATAAATCATATTTGTGTTCATGTTGTGGAGCACATTGGTTATGTGCAGTAGCCTTACCTCTGAGTCCGATGAGCTGCTGTTGTTTTCCGATTCGTTCACTAAGGAGGATTTCACATCATCCAAATCCCTTTCCGCAGATACGTTTTCTGATATCTTTTCCTCCTGCTCCCCTTCGTCTTTAAACGATATCATTTCATCACTGGCCCCCAGATCATCCCCACCACCTCCGTTCAACTGTGGCATTTTCGCAGACCAGTGGAAATAGTATCTCGGAGGAGGAAAAACAGACGCAAGAACAATTGACTTAGCAGATAAGAGTAGTCCGAACGAGCCACTGGAGTGGTGAACTAAACTACAAGAAACTGTTCATGTTTCAAAACTCCTTTTTCATCCTCTGAACGTGATCCCGTGGTCCATGGTGAGTGTTGCAATGATAATAATAATAATCCACAGCAAAGTTACAACAGAGACGCTGATAGAAGATCGTTGAATATTTGGCTTCAGCGGCCGGATGCGCAGCAACTTGGCAAAGTTTCGTCTCCTTCTCTTGTGGACAACTTGTGGCCACTGTGTGTGTCCTTGTTGTGCTGCTGAGGAGCTGGACTCTCTCCTCCTCCTCCTCCTACAGATCCCGGAGACCACATAAACTACAGTCCGAGCGACCGAGAGGCTATTCGAGAAAAAGAAAAACGTCCGATTTCATCTCCTAATATCCATTTAGAAGAAAATAGTGACTCGAGTTAAAAAAAACAAGAAGAAAGCAAAAAGTAAAAAAAAAAAAAAAACACGAGACGACTAGGCTGCAGTTTTCTTCACTTCTGATTCGTTTGCTTTCCCGTAGAAGCTTCCCCTTGCAAATGCAAAGTTCATAAACTACAAAGAGAACTAAAACCCGACGCAAAAGTATAAAATGAGTGGGACGTGATCGCCCTTTCCCTCCACATTGCTGCCGGGGGAATGTGCCTGAAAACTACTTGGTTGTTCAAGTGGAAGAAAAGCGCAGCCCGTCCATAGAGGAGGGGTTTGCGCTGAAAACCGACACTTCATTCACCACCATGAAGATCAGCTATTCTTAACCCTCAAGCCACCAATGCACAGCACACAATGAAAGGACCGAGGGCATTGTGGCACATTGTACATGGAGAAATACAGTAACCAAATCCATTTACGACCTATGGTATTAATATTATTGTTATTATTATTATTATTATTATTATTGTTATTATTATCGAGTACTATCAAGGTTAGTACCAGAGATCAGGCTGCCTCATCTGTGCGAAAATGACAAGACAGACTTTTAGAGAGAAAGGCATAATGACACACTGCCATGTAAATTGCACGTCTGTGTGTCCTGAAACAATTACACCTGTGATAAACGCGGGCCATTGCGGCACAACTACAGGCATGACAGAGTGAGGCAACAATCTGAACATCCAAGCCTGGCACACCTCTCTCTCTCTCTGTCTCTCTCCCTCACTCTCCCTCACTCTCTGTATGTGTGTAAACTGAAATACAGGGCCCCATTGATTTGAGGAACAGGACTGGAGGCCTGGTTTTGCAAGCAGTCTTGGAAGAAGAAGAGAAGTGGTTACAGCTTTTGTGTTCCTGTGGAGTAACCTGCACATAAATCTTAATCATGGCTAGGAGGTGTTTGTAAATGCATGAAAAATAAATGCAGTGTTTGCTCACAAAGCACTGGAAGATGGAAAGTTTTCTAACATGTAACACTCAAGTTAGCTGTTACTTTTCAGTTCTATTCTTTTAGAGCATTTCCATACTGCATTGCTCTCCATATTTACCTTTCTCCATCCACATCCAGTGGACCTCAGACTTTTCTTCACTACTGATGCAATCCGACAGGCTTTCCCGTTTGAGAGAAGAAGTCATTGATGTTGTCGACTGCATGTCAGCAAGCTGAGGGTTGACTGACAATTCAACAGTGTCTCCATGGGCCTCATTAGATCCCCACTCCTCCTGGGTGTTTGTGTGTGCATGTTCGCCAGTGTGTGTATTGGTATTCAGTTAAAAGCAGCATATACTGCAGCTGCATACTGTATCTTCTATGATCCGCATGCATGATAAGTTATGGATAGTGTGTTTCAAGTACGCAAAAATACACATTTGCACCGGCTTGCGCACGCACAGGTGAATATTTGCCCTCAGGGCTACTCATCATTGTTTTCCTACAGTAGGCACAGTGCCGTTTCCAAATGATGCTCAGACTAATTTGTTCATTATGTTCATTCAAATGTATGACATAAGTTTGACACTACAACACTAAACAGAGAAAATAGTGTTTTTTTTTTCTAAAAGTCTCACATGTCAGAGATGTAATGGACCGTGCACATCCCAGCAGGTGTAATTACAATTATTCAGTGCTTGTGCACCATGGCCTTATGAATGATTAATAAAGAAATCAAATATTAAAACAAGTCAACAGAGAAAAATAACAATGACGTGCTTAAGCAGTTGCTGAACAAGAATACCTCTTAAATAACGACACTTCTCACACACTCATAAGTTTCAGCAGTGTGTTATTAGGCACCAGTGGCATGCAGTAAGTAGATGGTTTTTCGCAGGGAGCTGTAGCAGCTCAGTGAGATATAACACTAATGTGACAAATCAAAAAAATCCATGTATCAGAAATGTTTAATTCCAAAGTGAGAAAACCACAATTTCAAAACAAACCAATGTCTAGTGTTGCAAAATGCTTGCTGGCATGATGATAAAGAACACTAATTATTGCTTGAAAAACTGTTATTTTGTGGGGAGAATGACATATTCACTGGCTGATGTGTGCGTTTTGGGTTAGAAGTCCTTCACATTGTTTTATTCATCAAACCAGCTGTACTTTGGAGAATATGACAATTAGATATTTGATGAAATGTGATTTTTTTTTTAACACCTGTAACACATGAAAGAGGATTTTATCACCTCTATATTTACCTGTGTATCTCTTCTCTCTCCACATCTGCCTTGTTAGAGTAGGATTGGTTTTAACTGGAAGTTGATGAGAGGTCAGGAGAGATGCGAACAGCCACAATCTTAGCCTGGGGGCAGATCGACTGGTGGCCAGAAAATTTATTCAGAGGGTGCTGTCCCTGCATCTGCCTTACTTTGAAGTTGCTCTCTCAACTCTGGCTTGTCGTACGTGACTGTGTGTTCATTTTTTCTCTCCCTCACTAAAGACAGCGCGAAAAAGCAGACCCGTAGCACTCCCATGTGTCGATACGCACGCATGTATTTCTCCGTGCCATGTGTGTTCCTATCAGAGTGCACTTAGGTGTGTATGTTTGTTTGGTGCTATGTTCATGTGTGTTTTTGAGAGACAGTGAGAGTAGAAGGGAGAGAGCGAGATGCTGTGTGCCAATACTTGCTGTTGAGAATTCAAGGTCATCCTTTCATGTTTTGCCAGCCATCAGCCAATCAGTTTCCAATCAAAATGGAGCTTAATTCAGCAGTAATTCCCATCTCCACATCACGTTTTCACCTCACCGTTTCAGAGGTGTTAAAGCAAATTTCCTTGTCTTTTCTCTGATCTGCTGCGGCGTGTCCCCCATGTCTTGCTGGGCCAAACCCACCGTGTCAAGCTTTCTGGTAATACTAGTTAAAGCATGTGGATGACATGTCAGATCACACAGTGTGCTACTGCTGCTTACAGCTTTTCCACTTCAGGAAATGTAGGTCTCACTTTATTGTCTTTGAAACCTACCCCGTATCACGTTCTTTCATTAATCCAAGCAGACCTGCAGAAAGTTTCCATTTGGTTTTGTACAATTTGAATTTTGGAAAATGGAGCAAATAAAACAAACAAAAAACAAATAGCCTAAACAAATCTAGGACATTTAGAAAAATGTGGTCTCATAATATTTATGAGGCTGCTATTCATATCAAATATTTTATTTTCTGTTACATGTAAAAGTCCAAGGTACAAAATTTCACTTAAGTAAAAGTATAAAAGTATTAGCATGAAAATTTACTTAAAGAACCAAAAGTAAAATGCAGAATGAAATATTTCACATTGATGCATATCATATTATCTTAATATAATTATTAATGTATTGTTGTTTTTATCACTTTAACGTTGCAGCTGGTAAAGGTGGAGGTAATTACTGCTGAGTAGCTTGTGAACTTCCCACTAGCGATCAATAAACTGTTCTGATTATACTGTATTTTGTGTAGCAATTTTGTAGTAAAAAGTAACTAGTAGCTAAAGTTATCAAATATTGTACATGTAGTTCAGTACTTAAATACAGTACTTGAGTAAATGTACTTATTTTCCACCTCTGGTATTTAGATGATGTAAAACACGTTAACTTGTTTCACATTGGTGCATTTTCCTTGACTTGACCCCATGCATGTAAACATCAACTGGGTACCAGAAGGATCAACGGATTTAAAAGTCTAAAAAACAAAACAGTTTTCAACCAAAGAGCAGCATCGAATGCAGATGAATGTACACAACACATTTGCATCACCACTGTGCCATAGTAGCTCACCTCCTCAGTCATCACTCTACGTCTGGACGGGAGTGCCTCCATTCAATCATGGATCTCACAAAAATAACCTCATATCCGTTTTAATCCACAGAAAGGTCCCCTTTCCAGGCTGGTATGGGCGTATATGGCATTTAAGACTGAGTGAGGATATGATTAAATGACAGTTTTTACTGCCGAAAGGGTGTAACTGAAATACTAAACTGGGCAGAGAAGGGAAAATAAAAGACTGTGTTGCAAAGTTTTATTCCCGCCTTTCTCCTTTTCTCTGGTGCTTTGTTGCATTTGTATTATCCTTTTCCCAAAAGAGTCCCGGTTTCGGACAAGAAAGTGAACACCCAATTAAGGCATAAATGAGGTGCTGACTGTGTTTAATTCTACATGGTTGAATTAGAATTGTGACATTTAATCCAGTGAAATACAGACTGAATTGACATACCTCTGTCCAGTGCTGCAACTTCTTAGCCAGACCTCAGTACATATAATAGATAAATGTGTGAACGAAAGAATGAATATCACCTTAAGGTTAATCAATGCTGCTCATTCAAAGAGTATAACAGACTTAAAAGACATCAAACAGTCCTCCAGTGCGGTTTTACATGGCTGCTAAGAGGTGCTCACTCACACCTCTTGACTGAAATACATGTTCATGTTTTTCTGTGCTGCAGAGGATGCTTTTAAGGAGCATTATTTCTGAGAACTTCAAAGCCTGACAAAAGCACTCTCCGTTTGGAGTGCGCAGCAGCCTCAGAATGTACTTAGATTTTCCAAATGGACAGGAAGAGGCCCTCACCGGTATTGAGGTGATGCTAGTTTTCAAGGTAACCTCGTTTACAGCACAAAAATAGAGCCTGTACTATTAGTCTTTTATAGGTTTGAGTTTATTAACTTTAATTACCTAGAATTTGACCAAAAAAAGACAAATGTACTTTTTGCTTTGCTGTATGGAAATTTGTCTTTTATGGTTTAACCAGGCGCAGTCAACAACGCCGACAGGTCCTCATGGATACTATTTACTATGCACAGCTCTGTAATGACCATAATTGTCCGCAAAGCCTCAGTTCAACTCTTTCCAGATGCTGCGTTCTGCTTTCCAGGTTTTATTGATCCAGTTAACATTATCGTAACTGTCTGTGTTTTCTCAGCTGAGGATGCATTGCACCATTCCTCAGAGGGCTGGAGATTCTTTCCTGTGATGTAAGCCCTTCCCAAGTGAGAGGCTGTTGACTTTATTTAATATGTCTGCCAGATTTTTATGAGCATTACACAAATGAAATGGTTTGCATTATGCGTGAACCATACATTCTGCGGAGGCATGCACGGCTGCCGACAGCTGGAAGTAACTTGAGCCCCTCGGTCACTTATCAGCCCTGGCATCCCTGCCATTTCCCATAGCCATCTTCAAGCCAGAAGAATCCAGCCATTGTTTTCGCCTCTGTGGGCCCTGTGTTAACTCAGCAGTGCCTCGCTGATTGTTGCAGAGATATTAAAGAAAATAGTAGATTTGTCTTTGTCCATATAACCCTCTCTCATGACATCCAAGCTCTTG